TATATTTTGGACAGACCATAGAGAGAAAGAGTGTGTGTGTGCGTTTTGGGTTGGGGTATTTTTTTAATATACACACACATATGCAAGTATATTTTTTATTTCAAACTGCGCTTTGTTTGGTTCACTTTTTTGTTTCGCTGCTTTTTATTTTTGGACGAAACTTGAAAACTGAACTGAGAGCAAAAAAAGAGAGAGAGAGAGAGAGCATATGTATGTGTGTGTGTGTGTGTGTGAGTGGAAAACAATAGGCAAAAACGTATTTAAAACAAAAGAAAGTGCAAAACAATTCATGCGCCTGGCCGGAATCTGTGAATGTGAATGTGAATGTGACTCGCTGTGAATGTGAAGTCGCATCCGAGTCGAGCCAAATACGAAAAGAGTCGACTGCAGCCAGTGTGGCTGTTGTTGTTGTTGCTGTTGTTGTTGTTGGCGTCTGGGCTGGCCGGCCGACTGGCTGCGACCGCCCGCTGGTCCCGAGTGTCGAATAAAAAACGGACACGGATGCACCTAGTGCGGCGGCTGGCTGACAATTGCCGAAGAAGCGGGACAGGAGGCGGCCGCTGGGCGGCATTGGGGAATTTCGGGCGGGGGCTGCGCCCGTTGCAGCGGAAGCAGCTTGCTGCGCGCTGTTGTGGCTGATTATGCTGCCAGTGGCAGGAGCTGCTGGCAGAGTCTTTGACTGCATGACGAGCATATCAGCACACACACACACACTCACACACACACCCGCAGCGCCTGCAATTTGCTGTGGCGTGGTGAGCAGGAGGCATTGGTGGGGGTAGGGCAGTGGCGGCGAGGGGTCGCCCTCCACAGATGTCCTGCAGGCTCCAGTACAACAGGCAAGTTCCAGCCAAGTGCCGTTTAAGCAAAAGCAGCTGGACAAAAGTTTGACATCCACATGACGACAGAGGCGAATCGGATCGTTGGCATGGGAAGGGGACGAGGGCACGGGGAGATGGGGGATGGAGGTACGGGCTGCTGCTCTGCTGTTATTTGTTATAACAATTGCGAGAGGGGGAGCCGGGGGCAGCGACGTTGCCATGGCGCTCTTGCAACAGGAGCTGGATAACAATGCCAAGCGGACGGCGACGGCCGCGGTCGGTCGCTCATTTAATGGACACTGTTTGGTCGATAATCAAATTAAAGCCAGCAGCGAAAATAGTGACACGGAGAGGAATGACAGCAGCAGGAGGAGGGGCGGCAGCGGGAGCGGCAGCGGGAGCGGCAGTGGCAGTGATAGCTGGGCCACGGCAGGTGCCGGCACAGAACGAAGGACTCGTGCGTCCAGCCTAACTATCGATTCAACTACTTCGAGGCCAGCTGCTCGGACCGCGCGTGCCGCTCGATTAGCCACTGACCGTAGTCAAGCGAAACGGGCGCGTGGACTTCAAAGGGGTTTGCCAAAAAGCCAGACACGACCGACCAAGCCGAGGACGTTAGTCAGGACAAACAACTCACGCCAGGACAACACCAAAAACACTCTCAAGTTTTAAATTTACGAAAAATACTTTGCAAAACTCTCTCTCGCTCTCTCTTCTATTGCCACAAATACGACTACTTGGAAAGTAGACCAGTCTAGAAATATATATATCATATATATCACATACCATACATATCACACATACTATATATACGATAAATATCACATATACTATATATACCATATGTATATCACATATACCACATATATCATATATATCATATAGATTATTAGATTATATAAATCAAATAGATCATATATCATCTCATATATAAGACGAATTTCTAATTTCAAGAGCAGTTCGACTTATGTCCATTGCACAGGTCAAGAGAGCTTGATCGATTTGTTCACAATCAAAGACGAATTCGAGTCTAGGTCTATGATATTATAGTCCTTAAATATTCCACCCCAAAGCTGTAAAATAGCGTGAAAAGCCTTAGAAAAAGTTTGATCGATCAATAAACTAACAATCTTCAAACTAAGTTGCGTTGATTTCGATTTTTAATAATAAATAATATAATAGTAATAACGCATGATAAAGATAATGCCTAAGAACGAAATCTAACAATGATATTCTCTCATTCCTGTCGACTATAGACAAAATCCTCTATCTATAAATATATACATGATTTGAAGGTATTTCAATTCGTATCGAAACATTATCTCTTTAGTCACCAAAGACTCCATAAACTAAGTTTAGCATCCGAGCCAATATTCTTCGAGCTCTCTATAGGCAGGCAACTCTATATGGAAAAACTGCCTATTTAGAGCTCAACTTGAATTTTGAATATAGCAAAATATGGTTTGATATAAAAGAAAGAGTAAATATAAAGTTTTCTGTCGCTTAAATTATATTATAAACATTCAAAAAAGAATTCTTCAATCAGCCCCCATAGCCTACTCCATTAGCTCCAACATTGCTTGACTGCTCACAGCTTTCAGGTCTCGCTTAACATTGTTTGATTGCATTTGGCAATGTGACTTGTTTTTCCCCAGAAGAAGACGAAGAAATACTCATTAGCGTCTGATAAGAGCGTTGACGCGACTTGTGACGAAATCTTGTAGAGGCAAAGATCGAAGAGATTTCAAAAATTGTCGAAAATGTGAGGGAAAATTGATGAAATTGTAACAATTAATTATGAATGGACAGGGGAAGGGGCCGGAGGCAGGGAGTAGAGAGCGGGAGGCAGAGCAGACGAGGTGTAGGTGTATAGCCACAGACAACAGCAATTTTGGGCGTAACATCGATATCGATAACATCTGAGACCCGAAAAACAACAACAAGAATAAAATGAAGAAAATGAAAGCAGAAACTGAAAGCGGGTCCACGGCGTAAGCGATCGTTGGTAATTAGTCGTTGGGTCCACAATTTGCTTCTTATCGCATTGAACTGGGTAGCGAACCACCCAAGCCACCCAAGTCACCCACTCGACACCGTCTCCAGTGACTGTTTCTTTTGATTTGTAACACAAATAAACCGAAAAATATCGCAACGAACTGAATGAGAGGCACAGCGACAACAATAACAAGGCAAACAACTTTGCGAGCAATTAAAACTGTTTGACGACATTTCGGGAAGGCTGGCAGGTGGGGCGCAAGTGGGTGCCGGTAGGGGTAGGGCCTGGAGTAGTGCTGCGTCTCACCTGGTGCACAGCACAGCGGCAGGGGCAGGGGCAGCAGCAGCAGCAGCAGCAGCTCTGATAGCTCTGGATGGCTCTGATAAATGGGCAGCAGCGCGAAACGTGGCAAACGTGCGTCACTGGGCAGCTCAGGGCTGGACGGCATGTGTTATCTAGATAACAGCGAGATAACAAGAAAGGTGCAAGAGAGCCATGGGCGTGGGAGGGGCACGCACATATACACATATACATATGTATATATGTATATATATAACATATAAAGAATCTCTGCCAAAACTAAAAGCCAGTCATATTTTATGGCCAGTCTGATACGGATATACATATACATATACATATACATATATATGTGTGTGTGTATTGGAGTTTATGGATATACGGCTTTGATTTTGCTTTGAACTAGCCGTGACCAGATACAGATACACTGATACAGATACAAAACGAAGTAAATTTGTCATGTTAATTGTTGTTGTTGTTGTTGTTGTTGTTGCTGTTGCTGTTGTTGCTGTTGTTGACCCACCGCCAAATAACGTAAATAATAATAATAATAAGAACAACAATAACAATAAGCAGCAATAAAGCAACTAAATTGCGGCCAACGTCGCGCCCTGGCCAAAAAGAACCGTTAACTTTACAACCACCAACGCAAAGCAAAAACCCAAAAAGCAAAAAAATTAAAAAAAAAAAAAAAAAAAAAACAGCAAAAAATATAAATCGCGAACAAAATCTGAGAAATCATGGCAATACACACCCAGAACAGGGGAACTCTGATTTCAGTGCAATATTGTTGCGATAACGCGAAAAAAATAAAACACACCAAATAGGCCAAGAATAACTGGGAAATAAAGCCCAACGCATACTTATGGATATGGAGCAGAGACAAATGATATATGGGCCATGGCCTATATCCCCTTACATTATATACTATCAGATTGTCAATCATATTATGTACATAATATAATATAATATATTTCATAATTATATATGAAATACCTCTGAAGTGATCTTCATATGAAACTATGATCGCTTTGTCAATTGATATCAGTATTTTTTATGGTGTTTTCTAGGGTTGGACTGTTATGGTTAGGAAATCCCCAACAACGTTAACTTATTTACTGTTATATTTTTAAGAGCTTTTCTATGCTCTTATTTCTAGCATACTTATACAAAATTTGGTTGATTTGCTAATGAATATAGTATGTATTTTATAACAATTTTTATAGCATATTTATGGAACATTTACGGTCTTTTAATATCTGTGTCTTCTCTTCCTTTTCCCTCTCAAAAAGGCTTGTTGAGGGGTTTTTAATCATGCAGTTATCATTATTTGGATATATTTATTTAGTTTAACTAAATAGAAATTTTAGGTTTGTGCGTTTATAAAATACTGTATATATTTTGTTTATTTTTCAAACTAATTATATGTTCATTAGCTTAATTGATTGTGTAGCTAAACTGAATTAAATAGAAGTCGTGTCCAGACTGAGAAATATATAAGTTTCATATGGTATCATATCGTGTTTATAGAACTGTATCTCATGTAACTGAAATCTAAAGCGAAAACTTCATAGAACCTAGCTCAACTCGAATGCGCATTCACCTGTTTAGGTAAATTTATAAACACAAACTTACATTCATGGAAAGTGTAACTGACTCATGGCACACATCAATACATGTATGTATGTATATGTTATTTATTTACGCTATATATATATATAAATAATTAGCTTATCATTTGCACCTCAGCAAAGTGTTCACAGCAAGTCTCATGCTGCGCTCACAGGTGCTATGCCAATTTTGCCTACTTCTACTTCTCCTTCTTCTTCCTCCTTGTTTATCACTCTAATTCCACTTGGTGCCATTTTCCAAAAATATTCACTTACCTTGTGCAATTCGAACCGCAGGCATTTTAATTCTCATTTTTGTTACAATTTCCAAAGGGAGTTTCAAAACTTTTCGAGCGCTCGCCCCACTGGCAGCTGGGCGGGCAACTCCTTCGACTCCTTCTTTAGTCTTTGAGCTGTTGCTCAACACTGGTCAAATGTTTTTTTTTTTCGTTTGTTTTTAAATTAGTTTTGTTTTGCTTTTGATTTCTATTTAGTTTTATTGCACTTTGTTGTTGCAGTTTTTTCTTTTATGTTTCCAGAGAGAGAGAGAGACAGAAAAGAATGCACTGAATTTTGTTTAGATTTTCGCTTTTATCTCTTATCTGTGGCCTCACATGGGCTCCACTCGGTCCCGCAGCTTTACTTTGAGAATTTTTCTCGTTGTTTTTGTCATTTTTCCACCTTTTTGTTGCTGTTGTTGTTTTTGGATTCAAGACATTATTTTCATTATTTATTTATAATATTTTCATAGAATTTTATTTACTTTACGTTTTGGATAAAACATTAAAAAAAAAACAAACAAACAAACAAATTTTCGCACTTGAAAAACACTTTTTGCTGCCTTCTTCTTCTTCTTCTTCTTCTACTGCTTCGCCTACTATTGCTTCCTGCTTAGACTTTCTTATAGGAACCGTATGCACTCTAGTTGTTGCTGTTGTTGTAAATCTGATTAGCATTTGTTTTAGCTGTAGTTGTTGCTGTTGCTGTTGTTGTTGTTGCTGTTGTTTTTGCTGGCAGTTTGGCAGCTGACGAAATTGTTTTTGCGCGTTCCTTTTGGCCACATGCTTTGTCGGCGTTTTGTTGTGCTAAACAACTTTATCAACACTGTGTTGCTGTTTCTTGGCTCGCCTTGCTGGTAGCGCGGCACAATCCAACTGGCAATTGGTCATCCAATTGGAATCGAACATTTGTTTTTGTTTCTTTTTCGAAAATGCACAAAACACTTGAAAAAAAATTGTAGCTGATTGCGTATGTGTGTGAGCGCGAGTGTGCGATTGTAGTTGTGTGCGTGTATTAACCGGGCTTAGTTGCTAACGGGCGGGGATCGAGACGGTGAGTGTCGAAAGATGTGCGACCAAATGAAAAAAAAACTCTGCTCGAATACGTATTTAAGCACGCGTCATTATTTGTCGTTGTCCTCTGGCTAACTGTTATTGTTGCATTTGACGTTCAGCGTTTGGCGCTTGGCGCTTGGCGTTTGCTGCTGCTGCTGCTGCTGCGTGCACCGCGACGGCGGTGGCAGCCTCGTCAGAAATGTGTGGTGCTAACGGTAACGGCGGAAGTACGCGACTACTACGAGGCGTCAAGCGGCGAGCGCGTCTTCGCTGGCTCTGCTGCGGCTGTGACTGCGGCTGCGGCTGCGGCTACGGCCACGGCAGTCGCTCTGTTGTCGCAGTTGTTGTCGTTGTCCAACCAACAAAGCGCCGTGACGACACCAACACTCACACACACACTCCAACACCAACACCAACACCAACACCAGCGCACTCACTGACTGAATGGGCAACGGGCGGCAGTGCGAGAGAACTTATGCTTCGTGGTCGTGGTCGTGGTCGGTCGTCGGCGTCGTCGTCGTCGTCGTCGTGTCGGCTAAGCGAAACGAACGAAAGCTTGACGAGTGGACGAGCACAGTGCGTGAGAGAGCGCACTTTGAGAGCGTGTGTGCCTGTGTGTGAGTAAGCGAGCGAGCGAACGAGCATACGTCTAAGTGTGTGTGTTTGTGGAGAGAGGCAGAGCAACAGCAGTGGCTGTGACTCTGGCAGCGACTATGACTGTGACTGTGACTGGGACTGGGACTGCGACTGCGACTGAGGCAGCGGCCAAGCTTATGCGAGAGCCTAGAAAAGCCAAAGCCAGTGACAGAGACAGAGCAGCGACGAGAGCATGTCCGAACGCGACGATGTCCTGCGAGCGACTGTGGACGCACACGTTCAGATAATTCAATTTTATTTTAGGGTTTTGCACTTTAATGCCAATCTGAAAATTTGATTTTGGCTAAGCGATGCCGCCGCCGACGCCGACGCTGACGCCAACGTCAAAGCTACAGCCCTTTTGCTATGGTGTCGTCGTCGTCGTCGGTGGTGATGGTGGTGGTGGGTTGTTGTTATTGTTATTATGCTCGTGTTTGTTGTTGTTAGTGGTGGTGGGTCGGTGGGTTGGTGGGCTGCTGCTGCTGCCGGTGCTGCTGCTGACGTCGCTGCCGCTAGATTTGTTTATTTGGTTTGCTGCCACTCGTTGGTCCGTTGGCCGCATGTGTGTGCGTATGTGGGGGTGGACACACACATACGCATACGACCACGAGAGCGAGCCAGTGTATGCGCGAGCGAGAGCGCTGCAGTCAAACAGATAGATATATAGCGATAGAGAGGGAGAGCGTGAGAGAGAGAAAGGGAGAGAGAGAGCGCGCGCCAAGCTCGCGTCAGTTGAAACAAATGAAAATAGCCATGTTCGATGTGGCGACTGTTTCATGCCAGACTGCACACAACGTCGACGCTAGCAGCGCGGCGACTGCTCAAATTTGCCACTGATAACGGTTCACACATGTGTGAAGCGTGCGTATGATGCATGCAGAGAGATGGGGAGGCTAAAGGATAGCGCGAGGAGAGAATCAACTGTGGGATAGTGGGCAGAGCAGCCGCTTCTTCCGCTTCTGCCGCTGCCGCTGCCACTGCCACTGCCACGGCTGCTGCTACTGCTGCTCGTCAGCGCGTCGCTGTCCTTTGTCCGTTATACGCAGCCGGCGTTTGACCGAATGCGCGCGCAGCTTAAAGCGACGACTGCGCGACGTTTGCCGCGCAAAATCAAAGCAACAACGACAACGACAACGACAACGACAACAACAATGAACTGGAGTATGCATAACAGCTTGATTTGGTGCCGTTACCCAACTAAAGATCCAATTGGAACTCGAGCCAAACACTAGCTATGTACATAGAAACACATTTGCCGTTGTCTTTCATCTGTTTCGCTTTCTCGTACTTTTGCGCGCGCGCTTCCCGTAGGCCGGGCAGAACTTTAGCAGGAACTTGTGGCGCACGTCCTCACAACGCGGCTGCTCGTGTGCATCTAATAAACTAAACTTAGTTTATGCCCATCTTCCATTCAACAAGAGGCCACTGGCGCTGTCGCCGCTGCCACTGCCACTGCCACTGCCACTGCTTCAGCTTCAGCTTTGGCTCCGGCTCTGGCTCTGAGCTTAGCTGCCGAGCGAGCAACCAACCAAACCACTCGCAACGCCGACGTCGCTGCCAGCGCCAACTGACGGCCGGCCATAGCCTGCCCTCGCCTGGCCGCTTCGCAGGCCCCAAACGCCTAGTCAGTCGGCGTTCGAACAGCAGCTGAAGCTAACGCCAGCTGCAGTCGAAGCTGGAGCTGAGGCTGGAGCTGCCGAATGGCCCGACGCAGTCGGTCCGACGAGTTGTACGGGTTGAAGTTCATCTGGCTGTGGGGGCAAATGAGAGTACTGCACGTAGCCTATGTACTACTACTATTACTACTACTAGATATAGCATTCAATTAATTCAAATAGATAAGCCAATTAAAAATAGATTCATATATGAAACTAAAATGAAAACCCAGAAAAATGTATGTACTCACGAGTGAATGTAGCTACCTTTTATTTACTTTTGATTGATCGAATGCATTCGATAGTTCAGTAGAGATTGGTGCAAATACTTGTTTATTCAAAAATACATTCAAGTTAATATGTATGAAAATATACATATATCGAAATCATATATATTGAATGTTTTTATTGGAACTAATGAGTGTATCAGCATTTTTATTTATATCTATGAATATATCTGATGTACATATGATATGGATGTACATATAACACATATTTAGATATATATGAGACTTGTAATTTAGTCACGAATACATTCATAAGTGTATGCATGAGTATGTTTTTTTTTTTTTTTTTTTTTTTTTTTTTTTTTTTTTGAGCATGGTTAATTTGAATTTATTTCATAGTTAGATGAATACAATTTGTAAATTATGAATACATTCATGACATCTTTGACATCTTTGAATTCATAGCAATCAATTATATCTATTTAAATACACTTTGGACTTAAAAATAATAAAGTATTTGAATATACAATTGCTGACAATAAAGAAACAAGTGTTTGTATTCATGAGTGTATTCATGTTTTTAGCTGCTCGTAACCAATTATACTTTTTTGAAGTAATACCAATTTACTCGAACAATTGTACTCGTGAATACATTCACTAGCATTCATGAATGTATTCACGAATGTACCCGAGTGTATTCATGAATGTGCATGTAAATTGAAAAAATAAAATGCATTTTTACCAATCAGAGCATGTTTCTGTGTGTGGGAAAGACATTCCAATAGCCACAATACATATATTCGCATGGTATATTCATATCCATATATGTATGTGTGCTTGTGTGTCTGTATGTGAGTCTAGGTGCGTACTAACTGCAATCGGAGTCTGTTGCACTGGAGTGGAGCTGCTGCTTCCACTTGAGTTTAGTGCTCGCCCACCGCGGTCAACACCGGCTAATGCACATTAATAACTGCGGCAGCGGCGTCAGCAGCGCCGTCGACGGTGGCAGTGGCAGTAACAGCGCTTCGGTGGGTGGGCGCTAGGTGGGGTGGTTGGCGGCTTGGCTCGTGCAGCATGTTGCAAGCTGAACGTTGCGAGGCGGACCACGACTGGACGCGAGCAGTTCGAGCCATACACACACAGACACACACACACACACATTGGCACTCACACTAGCTGCTGTCAACGCTGACGTCGCCGCCGACTTCGCTGCCCAAGCATTGCACCCATTAATGTCAGCGCTTTGATATGAGAAGCACAGCACGTACTCGAAGCATGTGTGACTGTGTGCGAGTGTGTGTGTGTGTCTGTGTCCGTGTGTGTGTGTGCCCAAAAGTGAATGCGAATTGTTTTTATTGCAAAGGTTTGCGTTATTGTTAATTGTGCTGTGCGCTTTGTGAGTGTGAGGCAGAGCGAGAGGGCGAGCAAGGTAGAGCGAAAGAGACAGCACGTGAGAGTGTGAGTGTGAGAGAGAGAGAGAGAGAGAGAGTGAGAGTGCAAGCGAGACAGATAGAGATCATTAGCGCCACACATGTGTGCTCATGAGTGTATTGTGAGTGTCCACTGAGACGCAGTCCCAGCCCCACGCCCCACGCCACAAGCCCCAAGTCTTCGACTGTGAATGTATATATGTATGTGTGTGTGCCGTATGTGTGCA